TCCCTGTACCATTCCAACCACCTGCTCACTGGTCTTGAGCCTTCCATCTCTCCCTTCCAGTCGAAATGTCTACCAGCATGCTCTGCACATAGGTCTGCTAGTGTCACTCTTCAACTCAAAATCACCAACCACTCTTCACTCGCTAGATTCAGTATAGCCCTGGCATTCAAGGCTCCCCCCCACCCACCCAAGGCTGCTGTGGGCACCTCCGATTTTATTTCCCATTTCTCCCCTTCAGCAAGTGGGGTTCCTTGGTCAACTGGTCCTCCATGGGCCTCTCGAGCCCTGGGCCATCCCTGTGCCAGGTTGCACAGAGAAGGATAGTCAGCCCTGTCCCTGCCTTTGGGGGTCCTCCATCTGGGGAGGAACCACTGCAGTTAATGAGCTAATCCTACAAGAAAGGATGGTATGGGACCAGGAGTGGCTGGGGACAAAGGAAGTTCAGAAGTGTTCCCTGCCAGGCTGGCACATCACACATGTGCCTTGGAGTCACATAGCCCTGTGCACCTGTGACCTCAGATGGTCATTCCACCTGTCTGCGCCTCAGTTTGTAACTCTGAAAGTGGAGTAAAAATACCTAACTTGTAGGGTTCTTCTTTTAGAGCTTGGGTAACCCCCAAAAGATTGTGAGTAAGGGACACTCCAACAACCAGTAAGAGACACGAGAGAGCACAGCCCTCAAGGGCCTCCCAGCTCTGAGAGGCATGCCCTCGCATTCCCAGGCTAAGGTTCCAAGAAGCCCAGCACAGGTCTAAGGAGGGGAAGGTCTGGGGGGGTGGGGAGAGTGGGGGGAGAGAGGCGAACAGAATGCTCGCATTGGAGGAGGTCTCTGCGGTTGCCGTCCAGCCCCAGGCCGAGGAGCCAGACCTCCCTGCTGGGGCCTGAGCCAGCCCCGGCAGCTGCTGGTCTTCTGTAGGGCAAAGGGGAGTGTGAACGGAGGCAGGGGGAGGATGGTGTTCCCCACCATGACGTCCATGCTGTTCCCTCAGCCAGGCTCAGCTGTGCGGACACAGGACCTCTACATCATCCTCCCAAGAAACCAGATCCTTCTTGGACCCTGTCAGGAAGGCAGGTAGACGGGCTGTGGGAGGAGCAGCTGTGGGAAGAGCACTGTAGAGGAAGCCAAACTGCAGAGGCCTCAGCCTCTTGGGGGCGGGTTTTTTTCACCTACCAAACTGGGCAGATGCCCACCAGCCCTGGAATGCCCTCACTGTAAAGGCAAGATCGTGGATATCCACCCCACCACAACCACCGGGCCCCTGAGTGGAGTGGGGAAGGGAGCCTTGATGCCATCACAAGAACCTGGCTGGAGTTCTGTGAATTTGAGCCAGTCTCTTTCCATCTTAAGCCTCTATTTTCTCATCTGTAAAATGGACTTACGTGGTGTCCTCCCTTATTTCCAAGGCTACGTTGAGCCTAGTATAGCAGAGGGAACCAGGCTCTGTCACTAGCGGCTGGTAACACTGAGCCAGCGTGTGTCTCTGAGCCTCGGTTTGCTCATCCGAAGTAGGGAAAGGAAGGGAAAGCTCCCTTTCAGAAAAGTTACGAGAATTCCATGAGACAGTGTGTAAAGCTCACTGCAAGTTCCGCACGGCCCAGCAGCCTTTCCCTCCTCCTGCCCTAAGCCATGCCGCACACACTCACACAGCTCGTGCCCTTTCCTGCACCTCACACACTCTTCTCCAGTTGGACACTCTCTGCCCACCTTTCAAGGCCTAATTCATGCAACCCTCCAACTACCCCCCATGAAATTGTTCTAATTCTACCTCACAAACAAGAGAGGGTCTCTCCCTCCTTTGAGCCCCTTCTGGATGGCTCCTTCCTCTGACATTGGTCCAGCCCATCTTCCACTAGTTATTTGTAGGCGTGTCTACTGCCCCTGAGACTCCTTGAGAGTTCCTGTGGGCGGGTCACACTCACTGTTACTCAGGACGGCCTGGGGAGTGCCAAGTACAGAACCTGGCACGAGGGGGATCTTATGGAGGAGCCGCAGGCCACGGCAAGGACTTGGATTTTATTCTCAATGATGGAGCGGGCATATTGGACAGTTTTATAACAGGGAGTGACATGATCTGACTTACGTATGCTTGGATGCCAGGTTAGGTCCCCGCCTAGAAAATCTCTTCCCCCGTCTGCTGTCCTGGCCAAACATTCCAGAATCAACACACAGGTCCCATTACAGCTTATTAAAATGCATACAACCATTATATGGAAACTATACCTCAAATCTTTTATTTTTTAAATAAAAATAAAGTTTTAAACGCCACTTCATCCTGGGAAAGGTCAAAAGAGATAAGTCAGACTGGCCAGCGTGGCTCAGTGGTTGAGCATCAACCTATGAACCAGGAGGTCATGGTTCGATTCCCAGTCAGGGCACATGCCCGGGTTTGTGGGTTCGATCCCCAATGTAGGGTGTGCAGAAGGCAGCCGATCAATGATTCTCTCTCATTGTTGATGTTTCTATCTCTCTCTCCCTCTCCCTTCCTCTCTGAAGTCAATAAAATAGATATTTTTAAAGAGATAAGGCAAAGTCATGTGGCCAGTTTTTCTAAGCCAAATCCACACAGCTGAACGTGGAATGCCCAGGCTTTTCACTCATAAAGCCCCTCTTGGTGCTGAGCCAGGCCGCACTGGTTCCATCTGCCTCCGCCGGCCTGTCTCCACAGCCTCCTCCCTGCACGAAAGCCCAGGGCTGCAGAGCAGCCTCTCTCCTCAGACCTGAACTGGGCCCTCAAGGGACTGGGAGAAACGTCTGGGACCATGGTTGGACTAAAGCCTTCAGAGATCCCTCCGACAACAGCTGTGAAGTTCCTGGGGGCGGGCATGGCGGCCTGTTTTGCTGACCTCCTCACCTTTCCACTGGACACAGCCAAGGTCCGCCTGCAGGTAGGTGCCCTTGGCCAAGGGTCATTGTTCGCATCAAAGGAAGGCCTGAGGTCTCTTCCACAGCACCTGTACCGGCTCCCAGCAAGCTCTTCCTCACACACAACCCTGAGCAGGCCACTCACTCCACTGCTGCCCACCTGCCTTGCTGCCTCCCCATCACCATCACCCAAGACAAAAAACTCCTTGGCATGCCGTGACAGGACCCTTCATGGCCCAGCCCTATTTTGTAAACCGTAAAGAGTGAAGTAAAAGTAAGGAATGACCGTGAGCAAGCCACTGACCACTTTGGTGGGAAAAACAATCTGCCCTCCCTTTGCTCTGAGAATCAAATGCCGCACTGTGAGCTGTAAACTGCAGCACAAACCTCAGTACTCTTCCTGGGATGTTGACAGCTTAGTCATACTTGTTCTCCAAGTCCAGCCCCAGGCAGGTGC